CAGATCTTTGAAGTATGTTCGCTTTGTAGTGTCTGTTTGTTGATGAGGTTGATGTGATGTAAAAAATTGGGACTCATGTGATTAATGTAAACTACAAGTGAATCCTCTGGATAAGAAGCTGGCATTTTGGTGGCCTGCCATGGTACGCACGTTTTTCCCAATTGTATTGCGAGACGTGGAGGGGAAAGGGTAGAGGTGGGGAAAGGAGAGGGAAAGTGAGAGAAAAGGGAGGGAAAGGAGAAGGGGAAAGGAGAAGGGGAAAGGAGAGGGAAAGGAGAAGGGGAAAAAGGGGGGAACTGCTGTCAATTTACTTGATTATCCAATCTCCTTGATCTAATTGATTATAATTCCTCCCATCGATTTCACTAGGTCGTTCCTTCTGATGAAGTAGACGAATCCATGACTATAGAATCGCTCGGGGAAAAGGAATGTATAGTCAAGTATTTTGAAGATGATGCATAGTAAGTTTTCCATCTCTGGTCAATTAACCTGATCTGTCAAACTGTCAAACTGTCAAACTCACAATCCGTCAATTAATTCGCATAACAATATTAATGCCTTCTTTACAGTGGAACCGCCCCTCACAGAGATATGAGGATTTTTGACCCAAACAAAGAACCATTTATTACATATGGAAAAGAGTATGGAGCACAGTTCATAAATCATCCTGCGGTAATAAGAGCACTAGAATGTCTCCGAAACGGAGAACCACCAGCCGAATTTAAATGGGATTATTGGATGCGTCCAGCTGGATCTCGACGAACATCTCAAAGCAACTCACCCAACATTCCTTTACACCGAATATCGCTTTATCCTAAAAATGTAGATCCAATACAAGAAATGGACAATGATACTAATGATACTGAAAAACAATTTCGCTTGTATGCATATCACATTAACAATAAGGACAATTCAGAGAATACAAGTCACGATAACACGCATCATAATCCCACAACAGAATCAACATTTGATCACGATGATAATGAAGAGAGTAAGCTGCAGTTGCATCAACCAGAGAAAGATACTGATAATAATGAAAATTTGACGAAAATAGAGCCAACAGACCAAGAACCTCAAATTCCCACTCCGTCTGTTCCAAAGAAACCCAAGGCACAGGACCAAGGGTGTCAGACGGATGCAATTATTCTCCCCCAATTTTTTACATCACATCAACCTCATCAACAAACAGACACTACAAAGCGAACATACTTCAAAGATCTGCGAGGGCGTCGTATGCTTACTCGTTCGCAAACACGAGGAGTGCCAGGTGCAGTTAGTACTAGCCGTTACGTTACTGTAGCACAAATAACCAGAGACAACATAATAGGACATACAAATCCAGCAAGGGCAAACATAACGAATCACTCGTCAGATTCATTACAAGGCACGACCAACATGGACATTTCAAAGGATGGCACGGGTGAAGATTTAACGACACCACCTGTGCGCAAAGAGAGACGCGGTCGCAAGCCATGGAAGAAGAAGGCGTTAGCAGAGGCGTCTGGCAACATAAATACGACAGAACAATCAGGAATACATCAAAATGAAGTCTCTTCAACATCTACTGCCCCGATACAATCTGAAGTTGTGTACGTAGTTCCAAAGAAGCGCGGCCCTGGAAGACCGAGAAAGAAGCCAATACCTGAACCGGTCATCGTTGAACAGAGGATACCAGTTTCAGAAACCAATGAACATGAAGAGGTTTCGGCTTCCTCGGACACTGGCACAACCATTATGCGACGGTCGCCCAAACGGCGCCGCGAAACGAGTGTATCTAGTAAATCCGATAATAATGACGATATTCCTGGATGTAGAAGGAGAACCATAAAGAAAAAACAAGCAGTCAAGGTGCCATGGTATAGACGACGTCGTTTGCTTCCGATAGAAGCTTTACCGGCAGACGATCAAAGGACATTAGCCATGTTTGACTTTATTAAATCTGATGTTAGCGCCGAAGAATTGGAGGGACTATATCAAAAAGCATATAAATATATGAAAGATTTGAAAATTGAGTACAGAAGCTTAAAAGCACAAGAGAGGAAACTAACCAAGCAGATCAATGCTCGAATCAGAGAAAATTCAATATCGATGAGAAGGGTCAGCCCCGGTCCAGTCTCACCTTTGACCCACAGCCCTTGAAAAAAAAAAACGAGAGAAAGAGAGAAAAGAGACTGAATTTGAGTAACAAAAAATTTGGTATGCCTGATGTCTTATATCATCTGATCTCTTTGTATGCCTAATGTCCTATATCATATGATCTTTAATTGTGGATTCAGCAAATCGGATGAATTTAAGGAATTGAATATAAGTTGTTATTTACATATAAATTTGTAATAAAGTTATATCAATTTATTCTTCTAATGTTTGGACGATTTATTACTGCTTTATAGATATCCCATTTAGCATATTATTTTATAAAGTGAAAATTCATTAATCAGTATTAGGGCATACAAAACTGACCCGACGTTCAACGCGTCCCACTTTTTGTTTTTCGAGATGGGGCCGTTTTCTCGATACGATTACAGATTGTTTATACATGTTCATATTAAAACTTGTTGTTTATATATATCTAGTTGATAACGACTGGGTTGGGAGCGTGATACGTGAGAGTAAGAGGGTTTTAAATTTTTTTTTCAAATAAAGAAAACGTGTCAGAATTTTTCATATGTTGTAAATAATATGGGGAAAAGAATTATATAAATATTGTTGGTATTTATTATACGTGTTTAAGAAAAAAAAAGCTCTTTTTTGTGAAATATTTGAAAGTGCCGGTATTTCCACGATCGATTTGCCGGTTATAACGATAACAATCTGTTATGGTAATGTATTAATATCAAGTATTGGCGCATCTTTGTTTTTACAAGTCGTTGCACATAACGAAATTGATAGTGTTTACGCTCCAAGTTGAAGAATCTCTCAACACATGAAACAATGAATTTATACTATGCCATATTCGTCAAATGGAATTCTCGTGTCTCACTGCGGGAAAAACAAAAGAATCTCGCTATACCAACCCGATGCAACAAAAATACACTGCAAGCGGTTGTATTGTAGTTGCCACCGCCGTTGCTCGTTTGAAAGGGTCAACTATAAAATCTCTGGAGAATTAAGATGTCGACACAATCCTTTGTTAACGCGAAATCAAATTACATGCATATCGTTATGAGTAAAACACAAACTATATTTGTTGCTGGAAAAGACATCCATCCCATCTCCCCTACCATTATTGTGTATTTATTGATTAGCGAAAACAAAACCACGAATATAAATTTAGCCATAATTATACGATTCACCGGTTTGTGCAATACTTTACTGTTTCGTTCGTTCGTTCGTCATCTCGCGATGGTTTCTGTTGAAGATGGGATTATCGTTACAGCCGCCCATTGACCAATGCAAATAATAGCAACTCAAAACTATTCTTACCGCGTCGTTTCAAAAAACCGTTGTATTATCCAAGTCCATATCAGCAGAATAAAAGTTCTCATTAATAAGTTATACTCTTCTTGTTTGACGAATTCAGCCATTATGCCCGAAGGGAATAGTAATAACGAACATGGATTCCTTAAGCGCATTCCACCAACTCAATCCAATTCTCCTTCGCTTTTGCTACTTCTTGTTCTCTTTGCAATACCTGCGGGCCAGTCAATAGCTTTTCTCTTTTTTTGCCTGCTCTTGTTCTTGAGCGTTTTGTAACAGTTGGCAGGAGATTCTACTTTTATTTGTAGCGCTTTCTCGTATGTTGAACTCGACATTGAAAAGAGCCGATCGCTAGCAAGTACTGGCAGCTTTTTTTTCTTGTCCAAGTTGCTGGCATTCTTTAAAAAATTGTCGAATCCACGGATAAGGTTTCCGCCGTGATGTATGGTATTGGCGAGATAGTCGCCCTCGAAATTGTATATTTCTCGTTCTAAACGAGCCAACTGAACGTCAAGATCAGACTTTTTGTGGTTGAGGTCGTCTAATTCGCGTCGCAGTTGTTCATATCGTTTGTAAGTGAGCTGGCGCTCTTCTGCTTGTTTCGAAACGTCCGGCATTCTTAAGTCGTTTTCGCGTTATGTATGGGCAATATCGATATACGCGCATGAAAAGGTTAAAGTTCACGTGATTATGATTTGTGTAGCACAGTTGTAATGTTAATATCCGAAACACTTTATTCGACACTTTAACGAAACGTCTTTTTCTCTGCATTACAAAACTCGTCACAATTAATTGCGTTAGAATGAAAGCGTTGGATATTAAACCCACTATTCAATTACGAACAACCATTCACCTCTCTGATCGACATGTCTACTTCGATTTCTTGCTACGAAAAATCAAACATCACTCTGCCAATGAAGTTTAACCAAATCTCATAACGGGAGACAACGCAAAAGGTGGCGTGTTATTATGACCTGATTAAAATGGCGTGACAGCGATCAGGTCATGCAAACATTGACGTACTAACCGACAAAGCGATAGTATGTAACACGATTGACATATACTATAATACTGTACTATAACTGTTATAAGCAGAATGTATATAGGGGCAAATTTACTATGAAATCGGGTGGTTCCAAGAAAAATGTGACTATAAGGAGGTTGTGACTATATAGGAGTGTGCTTACAGGGGGGATGACTGTAGTTCGATACGGGTTATAAAATAGTTGAGCACTTAAATAAAATCTCATCCGGACTTACTTACTGAGGTCGTAGTACAGGAGGAATATACGTCATCACCTACGTCGTAAGGCTTTACATCTAGCAAAGAGATCCCAATTCCTACATGAAACGAAAATGTATTATCGTAACCAATTGTTTTGTATAGGTTTTTCAAAAAATAGTTTTCTCGAGAACGGCAATATGGATTTTTGTGATCTTTTTCTCTTCATTCATTCCTCGAAACCATGTAGTTGGATGGCTTATTTTGACAATAATGTACTCAATCTGTTTGTACCTAAACACGGCAGCTACAGAAGTTAATGGTGCAAAGAACCTTTGTCGCTTGAGCATAGCAACTGTTATTATGGTATCGAACAGCAGCACAAATAGTTCTCATTGTTTGCAGCAGGTACTATTTCCTTTTCTTCAAGTCAAACTTTTAAAGCAGATAGTATTAAGTGTAAATGGATTAGCAGCAAAATCACAAGAAAAAAGACTCAAGCGCTGCCACGCGATCCAAGACAAGTTTCCGGCTTGATAAGGATAAGGTATTTAAATCATATTTAAAAATAAGGAAATAAGAAAAAGAGATGGTTAATAACTTTTATTTTGAAGATACGTGCTAAGAGTTGAAGGGAAAAGATGGTCTTGTAAAGATTAATTTCCCCGCTGAAGATCTTCGTGACATTGGCGTACGTCAAGCTATTCATGACGCCTTTAAAGCTGAAAGAATCGGGTTATCAAGGTAAAATTTATTTGGAATACATATCTCTCACGTAAAGTATTTTCTCAATGGTTTTTACATTATTCAGTGGGATGGTGGAGGCAAGGAGGAGATTCATTGCAGGATTCGAAATTCCCTTGAGAGCCAAAATCAAAGTTGGTGGGTCTGTCCCAATTCTGTATGTGTAGCCAACTATAGAGACCTACGACTTGATGTGGGTATGTGGTACCAACGACCATCTCGTGTACAAAGATGCAGGCCTATTATCCATCCATGTCCACCTCCTAATGTGTGGATCGAGGTAATGTATCGATTTCTGTTTGAAAAATATAATTAGTGTTGTTTGACAAATTATTGAATATTTGCAGGTATGCTTCAATAACGCCAAAGACCGAAATTACGCGC